ATTGGAACTGAAAATGTAAAAAAAAAAAATTCAAAAGTACAAATAAGAAATGAAAAATACACAGAGAAAAAAGTTAACCAAGTTAACTTTAAGACATTCTCGAGACAGCAAAAACAAACTATTGTGAAAAAAAAAACATTTTGAGACAAAAATATTCGAAATTTTTTTTTCATTTTATATTCAAGTATCCCAGGACAAAATATAACATTTCAAGCATAATTAATTTGGAGAAAAAAACATTGAAATTTAAATTGACAGTAATTTTAAATTGAGAATGACATTTTGTTTGTTAAAGAATTTTATAGTGAAAATAGTAAGTGTTGTTTTGAAAAATTTCAAAGTCATTTTCAACTAATTACATAATATTACAAAAAAAATTGTTGATATTTGTGAAATAATAAAATTTATTTAATTAAAAAACAACGGCAAATAATTTTATTTAATTGATCTGACGGAATTGACAATCGAATTTGTAACGAACCGAATGTCTGTTGAATGACAAATACAGTATATCCAACAATATATTTTCGGATGATTGTGATTATAGTGCTGCCACCCTAAATTTTTTAGGATGATTGTTATTATAGTGATATCAGCCTTTAATATTAAATAGTGATATCGCTTAAACAACAACCTTATTGTTACAAAACTATTTTATGCTAAAACTTATTACAAACAAATAATTTATGCAGTTTAAGCAGACCCACAAAATTTTTGTATTTAAGTTCACATTAAAGGCGATAGAAGGCAATTTTTTTTGTCACTACTTGTCAGCACTCAGTACAATATTACAGTCACTTTCATTATTTTTCTACAAAATAATTGGTTTCATTTAGAAAAGTTTACAATTTTCAAATTATATTTTTATTGTATAATTCTATTTCCAAATATGGTAATTGTTGTGTTACATAAAATAATATTATAAAATTGAAATACAAATTCATCATACCATGTCGAAATTTACATTCATATTCATTATCTCAGTATAAAAAATATAAGTATATTGTATATATGTAGGGGTAAAAAAAAATTTTTACTTGACAAGAAAATGTAAACATTTTAAGATTGTAAAAAGTCTTATGCATACATTCATACATGCACATAGTATAGAATGGTATATTTTGCAATATGATGCATAACAAACTGTTCTAGATATTACTTTTAAGCATAATATTCAAATATTTCATTTTGCCATAAGAAACTTTAAATAAAAGAATTTATAATAGAAATAAGGGCAATTGCTATTTAAGATTCATCAACAGTATATTATCAGTTTTTCATTTATTTATAATGTAATATGAATGTATGTAGAATGTTCTTCTTTTCAATGATGATAAAAAATATTTATATACATGAATATATATATATAAGAATTTATTTCACATATTATTATGAAGATTAAAATTTAGACAGTAAATTTTTCATTTATCTCGAATTTTTGCTTTTCTTTAATATTTTGCAAAGTATTTTTTTTTCTTAGAAGCACTATTGTATTTCAAGAATGTTAACGAATTTAGATTCTAACGTATATTATACCATATATATTGTAGTTATAATGAAGCTTTTAAAAAGTTGAATTTTTTTATGAAGGTAAAGTTTCGAAATATTTTTTACCCCTACGTTGGGCTACATCTTATAATTATAGTCGAAACCTGAACAAGTTATGGAGACTTTCCAAACATTCTATTGTGCATAAAAATCTCTAATTATTATATTTAATTCATACCTTAAGATCACTATAAAAACGACCACAAAAATATTTCCTTTCCTATTTTAATTTAATAATTCGCTTCAAAAAAAAAAAAAAACGCAATATTAAAATAGATCTAATCTATATCTAGTTTTAGTATAATAAGCCTACATATATTATGTTACGCATATAAGTATCATTAGACCATACATATATGCTTAAAGGACTCATTTATTATTTTGAAAAAAAAAAAAAGAAAAATAACTATGATAAACATAAAAACCAAGAGACAAGAGATCATTACCGGCGCTTTACCCTATGTTCTTATTCAAAATTTCTTAAGGATCTTATTCTTTATATATATATTATATTATTCTCTACCTAACTATCATTATATACATGTAGAAATATTATCTTAATGTGAATGAATGTTGTAATATTAAACACACAAAAAAAAAAAGCAGAAACAAAAGAAAACAAAAAAAAATATTAAAGAAATAACGAAAAATATTTTTTATAAGCATGATTGTAGAAAATCTACAAAGGATTTAATATGGCACACAGGATATATTTAAAGATACAAAATGAGAAATTTAAAAAAAAATATATATTTTTTTCATAAAAGGAAAACATGAGTGTATCACTGTTAAAATCAGCACACTTCTTTTATTTTTTTTCATTTTACGTGTTGGTTTTTGTTTTTTCTATTACACTCTCACATATACTCAAACATACAAATACAGTTCTTGACTTCCTTTTTAAGTTTTTTCCTTTTCCTTTTTGTGTTTATTTTTTTTTTTTTTTAATATTGTGATCTACATATTTCAATTTTTTTTCCTTTTATCTGCTTGTACACTGATTATTTTTTAATTTACAAATCGATTAAAATCAATTGTTTTCCAATATATTGATGAGGAGTTTGTCATGCATGTGTGTATGCAGATACGAGAGAAATTTAAAAATTTATTTTTATTGTTTATTTATAAGGTTGAGAAGTCAGAAATGACAAATTGATAAAGCTGGAAGCAAAGTAAATTTAATTATTTGTCATATTTTTCTAAAATTTAATAAAGATTGGTCTTATCTTTATTCTATGATATCCAAGAAATATTACTTCAAAATTACTAGTGGAAGAGTGGAAGTCGGATACCTTATATATTATTCTTTTTCGAGCATTGTTCGGAAAATTCTCTTCTCATTTGAGCAAACTCGCCAAGTTTTATTCCATCCACAGCAGATTTCCTTGGAAAGTTAGCGATACTCTCATGCATATTCTTTGTTATTTTTTAATACAAGTCATGGAATGCTAAATTATGTAAGGCAAGGTTTCTTCACTATCAAGAGGCTATTATACAATTATGCATAATCACACTCCATTTTTGTTCGAAAAGAAAAGTTGTTATAGGTCGAAGATTGGGATTGAGGCACCAGAAAGTCACGAATATGTGTATTGGTTATTACACTTAATCGGTATTCAGAATAATATTTCCGTATTTCAAATCGCATACATTCAATACAATGAATTGCAGTTAAGCACGTTTTCTTCCCTTCTGCGTTAGATCACCCTAATTAACTCTACATATTACGCGGTTTTGTAAGACTGAAATCTTTTTGAGTGAAGAAACCCCTCAAAATTTTACTTTTGTAAATACTTTTAATAAGTAATAATTTAGATCTTAGGAAATCTTAGGAAAATATATAGTCTTTTGCGATTCGGATAAAATATTATAAGATACTTACATTCATAAGTATACCATACAATGTTTTCCATAATCTTCAGATTCAATTCACACATATCTATGATAATTATACTTGAAAAATATGTCAAGAAAATTTTTACACTTCTATATCATCATTGGGGATAATCCATTTCATTTCAATACGCATATATACAATGTATTTATGTTTATATATGTATATATATATATATATATATATATATATATATACATGTGCGAATAATATATTAACACATTAACACAAATATTTACTTATATTATATTATTTTTTTTTCTTTACTTTTAATAGTGCACATACGATTTCATATGTTGTAAAGACAGAAAAAAAAAAAATTGAAAAATAAAATTTATGTCAAAGTTCGTATAAATAATGATGTTTTTTACTTTAATGAATATCTAGATATTTAAAATTCCATTGCCAAAAGGAGATAATAATAATAATAATATTTTGTATAGCTACGTATATCGAAGATAATGTAACACAACAACAAAAAAAAAAAAAAACAACAACTCACACCACGACACCAATTTTCGCTCAAATGAAAATTTTCAAAATAATATGTAATAATATCGCAATAACATAACTTAAGGCGGAATATATTTTCAATGAATTTTGATGTATACAATATATTTTTATATTATTTTATAAAATATTTAAAAATCAATTGAATATTTTTACCTATTATACTAATATACTGCTATTATAATACCCATATACAGTTTCTTTTTAAGTTTATAGGTGGAGTAATAATATACATTATATATAAGTAACACAATTACATAAGAAAATACTTGAAGAAAACCTTTCTATGTTAAATAAAATTTTCGAATCATTAAATTTAGGGAACTAGTCAAAAATATTCTGTATACCGTAGTTCCCATTTTAATATGCTATTTATTATGTATACAATGCCTTTTTTACGAGTAATTCAAATTTAAATTGGAGTTATAAAATGAAAACTGAAAATTATAAAGAAATTTATAAATTTTTTATTCAAATTATAGTATGAACGAAACTACGAATGAAGTTAAAAATTTTTGTATAGGATTTTAAATCACAGTTTGGGTCTAGTACAGTAAATTTATTTATGCATTTAACATTATATTAGCGAATCAGTTCGAGAGCCTGAATTATTCTTGCTCAAGAAAATCAAGGAGAGTAAAGGGAATTCAAAATTCTTTTCATTATATATTCAGTCCGTCAATATTGAGTAGGAGACTGCTGCAGAAAATGTTATGTCAATTATTTGGTGTATTTATTCTAGATATACTCCGAATATTCGTAAATACCTTTAAACTACGCAAAACAAAATTCTTATTTAGCTTGGTTATTAAAACAGAAAATTATTTTATTTTAAATGATGAGGAGCAAAATTCGATTGTCTGCTTTCAAGCTGAATTAATTTATTTCTCTTTATATAGTATGTGAAAATAATGGAGGTATTTTTTTTATTATTTGCATTAGGCTCTTAAGTTCTGGCAAGGCTGTTAGGCTCTTCTAACAGCGACCCATAGAATTTTTAAAATAAAAAATTATATGTATATAAAAAATAAACTTTAATATAACTAACCTTTTTACAATAATCCAATAAATCCATTCGATCCCTTAAGCATGTTGATGGTGTTTTAATTTTTAAATCAGTACTCCAGCGTCCTTCTTCGGTTAAATATTGTGGCTGAAATACTTGACCAGCTTCACATAAAACCGATATTTGTGGTTCCCATCTTGGTGATGCACTCTAAATTAAACAAAAAAAATAAAAGAAAGAAAACATAAAAATTAAAAATATATTTTTTATTTTGTGCGTATAATAAAATACTATTGAAGATAAATGAGAACATTAAAATATAACCAGATTAAAATATGATAGATATTTAATTGATTTTATTACGAGAACGATTCTAAAAATAAATTAACTTTTAGTTGTTCTTTTCTACTTACATAAATTGTAAGTATATTATCAACAATAACAAAAAAAGCAATTTCGGTATTCCATTTATGCCCGTACAACCAAAAGCTATAAAATAATTTTTAACCATATAATATCAATTTTTATATCCTCCAAACCAATCTTAAATATGGTTAGAATTTATAACAGTATACATATATGCGATTTTTCACATTGTGTATAATAAAATAAAATATATAAAATCGGATAGGAGGAAATTGCCAAGGAAAGAGAAAAAAAAAATGTGTAATTAATTGATTTTAAAAATGGTAAAAGTAAAAACAGTTAAAAAAAATAATATTACTGCATCATTTGCTTTTAATTGCTATTATATAAAGAAAATGGCGGAAAAAAAAATATTAAAAAAAAAATAAATAAAAAAATAAAAAAAGGATTCTCTATAGTATGCATGAATACAGATTGTAGGTTGACACGCATACGTGTATGCGTATTGTAATAAAAATTAGGGTTTGAGTTTGAGGTTCCCACCTCTTAAAAAAATTATTAAGTAATCATATTTGTACTGTAAAATTAAAGTAATGTTTTTCTGTTTTTAAGGCATTCTTTTGAAATTAGCAGGACTTGCATTATTGCACATGGTCATGGGTGCCGCCTCCAGGGTTTTCAATACTTACGCTGGCTAGTGTAGGTATACTAAATGTGATTCATTCAAGGGAGTTTGAGGAATTTTTGATGGGCATTCACCTTATGCCTGATTGGTGACATGGTTAGAAGGTATAGCTTCGAGAAAAAATTTACCTTGAAGATAGGTTCCAAAAAAAAAAATTCGAAAGGAAAGTCACTTACCTACCCAATGGGATCACAAACCATTGAATCGTAAACTGACGAATCGAGATCTTCTTTGGGAACTGCTGCGGGAGTATTTCGTATCAGAACTAAATACTTCAAACCATGAAGAATACATCGTGATGTCTTTCAAACCAAGGTGCATAGAATCAAAATTTGCGCCCGCTTTAATTTTGAGGAAAGGTATCTAATGCAGGATTGTGCAGGATTGTCTCGAAAGACTAAATGAGCTCTCTAGGTATTATCTGGTTACTTTGTGCAGGGTTCCAGAGTGCGTTGGAATAGAAGGAAATGAAGGGACTGCACGCTAGCGAAAAGTTGTACACTCTTTCTTGGGTCGGAAGTCTTCTGCGGAATAAATGCTTCAATCCTATTGCGCATAGTTAGCTAACACAATTTCACAAAAACAAGTTCATGGTTGTATTTCTAGTTACCCAATCCTCTGCATCATTAAGATGCTGAATCTAAAATTACGTTATATATTAATATTAATCGGCGATACAACTGTGGTGAGTTGGGAGAGGAAAAAGAAGGATTTGCCTCTTCTTCTAATCTGAGCCGCCGCCGGGAAAATCAGAGAGGCTATCAGGATGTGGAGACACGATGTAGTGGCTGGGTGTGATGCGAATGCGCACCACACTCTATGGGGAAGCTCGGATGTTAATCAGCGAGGTGAGTCCTTAGTAGATTTTCTTAGTGGTACTAACCTTTGTGTATGTAATAGGAGTTGCCTATTTTCCTACCCTACTTTCGTCGTTAGAAATAGGAGTGAGGTGATAGACCTTACTTTGGCTACTAACTTAGGAGAACTTGGGAACTAACTTAGGACTAACTTAATGGTCAGTAACTGGATGATATCGGAGGAGTCTTCCCTCTCGGACCATTGCTGGATTCGTTTTAGGATAAATTTGCAACCGAATGTGGGGGCGCCATTTAGGAACCCCCGAACGGTAAATTGGGATGGGTACTAGGCGGCCCTGGAATCTGACATGACTGGGCCGGTACGTGAACTGATAAGAAGAGGTAAGTCAATTGACAATACGGTTGGGTGTCTGAGTGCAGCTATGAGGGGGGCCTTCGAGGCCAAGATTAAGGAAACTACTATCGGAGGAGGCCCTGGTACCTGGTTTTGTTAAAAGAGATGATGGTACTTGGGCTGGCTCTAGTATAGAAATGTTAGAGGAGTTGATGCAGGTTCACTTTCCGGGATCAATTCCCGAGGGAAAATGAAGAGCAAAAGCCAAGGGGGTTCCGAGGAGAGGAACGGAGACTGTACGAGCTTTAGGTAAAAAAATTTTTACGGGGGAGAGGGTACAGTGGGCTATTAAGTCTTTTGGCCCCTACAAGTCTCCGGGAACGGATGGGGTATGGCCTACTATGCTGCGGAGGGCACCGAGAGTGATCATTGATTGGTTGGTGGTAATTTTTTGTAACTGCCTGTATATGGGGTATGTCCCTAGAGAATGGAGAGAGGTAAGGACGGTTTTTGTGCCGAAGCCTGGTAGGAGTGGTCATGTCAGCGCGAGGAATTTCCGGCCAATCAGCTTGTCGTCTTTTGTGCTGAGGACTATGGAGACGTTAGAAGAAAAATTTATAAGGAATGAGGAAAGGGAGTCGGGTCTGTCAAATGACCAGCATGCCTTTTAAAGAGGGAGATCTCTGGAGACGGCGCTGCACGCGGTGGTCACGCAGGTGGAGGTATCTCTGCAGTACAAGGAGTATACATTGGCTGCTTTCTTGGATGTTGAGGGTGCTTTTAATAATGTAAAGGTTGAGGTTATCGTGGGGGCTCTCGAAAATGTAGGAGTAGACGAGGACATAATCAGATGGATAGAGCAAATGCTTACTATTAGGGTGGTTGTGGCCAAGTGGGGCCAAAGTAGGGTGAGGACGCTGTCGGTGAGAGGCACTCCTCAGGAGGGGGGGTCCTATCGTCATATCTGTGGGTTATGCAGGGTTATTTTAGGCTCATGAGGGATAGTGGATGTAGAGTTACTGCCTATGCGGATGATGTGGCAATCCTGGTCTCGGGTAAATACCCGGAAGTACTGAGTGCAATAATGCAGGGGGGTCTTGATAGACTGGACGGTTGGGTGCGGGGATGCGGTCTTTCTGTGAACCCCGTAAAAACCGAGCTGGTGTTGTTCACGAGGAAAAAGAAGGTGCCTAGGTTTGCCCTGCCTAGGATGGCGGGAGTCGGACTGGGTTTGGCGGGTTGTGCGCGATGCCTGGGCGTGATTCTGGATAGTAAGCTGTTGTGGAGGGAAAACATAGAGAATAGGGTAAGGAGGGCCACGACTGCGTTGTTTGCCTACAAGGGGGCAGCTGGTAGACGGTGGGGAGTGAGTCCTCGACTGGTCTACTGGTTGTATGAGTGTGTGGTTAGGCCTATTCTGACGTATAGAGCATTGATCTGGTGGCCAGCGGTGCTTCGGGATAGGGAAAGGAGGAAGTTGGAAAGGGCGCAGCGTATGGCGTGTATTGGGGTGACGGGTGCATTGCGTACTACACCCACTTTGGGTTTGGAGGTTATTCTCGACCTGGATTCGCTGGGTACGCAGATAAAAGCGGCGGCTGCGAGGAGTGCCTTGAGGTTACAAGCGATGGGCATACTTAAAAACAGGGAATCCACACACAGTAGAGTTCTGATGGAATATGGAATGGGGCCTGTGGACATTAGGCCTGATTTTGTGGTGCCATACACTGACTGGAGGGTTGATTATGGGGTTGGCTTTGTACTATGTGCAGGGTAATTGTGTGCTGGGTTCCCGGTCATAGTGGGATACGAGGTAATAAGATGGCAGATCATCTTATTACCTCGTCAAGAGAAGGCGTGTCTTGGGGCTTATTTTTACGATAACCTGGGGGCTTCACCAGGGAGGTTGACTGGTTCGGATAGAGGGGTCTTGTGTCGAACTGCATGGAGGTTGTTGGGTGTTTTCTGGAGGTTGCCCATGGGCCTTTTTCTGTTGGCCTAGTGCATGAGCTTTGCGCGGGTGTATCGGTGGAGCACCCCCCCATCTTACTACTACTACTACTACTAATATTAATTTCCAAAATCTCAACTAGTTTCGTTCTCTTACTTATCATCAATGCGAAATGATGAATTAAAGACAGTTCAAATAATTATTTAAAATCATAAACAATTTTATAAATTTTATTATATCAATTATATATTTGTGTGAAATTTAAATATTTTTTTTTATGTTAAAATATCAAAATGAACAAAATTTTGATAAATTATTTAAATGAACATCGCAATCTTTCATAAATATTCAGCATACACATAAGCATTTATTCATATTTATTTTCCAAATTTTCATTATAATAATTTGTAAGAAAATTATATATGTATGTGGTCACAACCTATGTAAATTGAGATTTTGCGGTTTTCATTACACATACATATATATATACACACATTATAAAATATATACTTGATTCTAATAAACTTTTGTTTCACCGCATAAACATAATTAAATTTCTAAATTCAATATCCTCATTTATATATATACATATATATATATGAGTTGTGTAAGTGACTATGATATGAAATAACTAAATTAATGTAATACAAAAGACAACAAAAGAAAAATGTGGCTAAAATTTATCTTCACACCGTGCGGTATATGCTGTACCCATATGTGTAATTTAGAATATATTAAAATATGAACTTTTTATACAAATAAGATTTATGTAATTATTATTATTTAAATGTAATTATAAAAGAATATGTATAATTATATTATAATTGTATTTATTCATATTTTGTATATGAAATTAATTTATTTAATTTCAATTCACGGAAATTATTATAACTAATATTTCATTATACATATACGGTTATAAATGAGGAAAATAATTATTTTCATTTAAATTTTGTAAGTAAGGTTTGTTAAATATAGCCGTCTTATGGAATTTGCATCATATTACAATAGTTTATAACTCGTATAAAATAATACGCATCCCCTTACGTACAAAAA